TATTGAACGTTTAATGGCAATTGGTCCTGCCCCCAACTGGTATGAGCTGAACCTCTGCTGGCATCAATGGGCTGTGCTAATTTGGAAGAATTTAGGACCTGATGCTACAGATTTTCTTAGAAACCCATTTCAGCAGATGCCTTTGCTGTTAACACAGGATTGTATCTCTGTCTGTGTCCAGAGCGTAACTGCAGATTTAACTGCTATCGAATATACAAGTGACTATATCGTATAGCAGACTAAATCATATAGCAATAGCAGCATGCAATTATCAGCTCTTCTGTGGTCACTCTGCACTTCAGACTGATGGCTCTGGGGTTAGCATGGCTTAGCAGGGGCTACCACTGGAGCAGGAAAAGCCCACATGTTGCAAGAAAGTGGGATATGGGAAACAGCAGCCCTTTTCCTCATAACTGAAGTAGACCTCAGCCAGGTGTTTGGGATGTCAGTTCACCTGAGACAGCCTCTGCAGGTGTACAACACAGCTGCTGCTGATATACAGCATGATGGACATCAGACCTTTGACTCTTCCCAGTTATTAAAGGTCCTGGATGTGTTTTCTGTGGGGAATAAATATGTTCTGGTTCTTGGGATCAAGGTCAAGGGTAATTATGGCATCACTGGCCCCACCACCCTCAATTTGTGCCCATGCGGTGTTTCCGTGGGGCGAGGGGAGAAGAGGCACAAGGAGTCTCAGGCTAAAAGTCTCCACAGCGCAAGGCTAGTGCTGCTGCTCCATGAGCAGGTATTCCATACTAAGGGGCTTTTTACGCTCCAGAGTCCAATTCTTTAGTGTCGCTACCTGAATCCTATTTAGAGAAATGTTGCCCACCTCTTGAAGGCGTTTTGTACTTGGGAGTTGACTTGCCTGCACCTAAAGGCCATGCATTCAGACCTGAGAATTTGTCTAGAAAAACAAAACAAAAACAATGAGAAAGCAATGAGAGGCAGTTAATACAGCATTAAAGAGGTGACTTTTAAAGATCAAATCATATTTTCAAAAACGGTGGTAGAGGGCTGTAGGTGACTGTGAAGGGCAGATATAAGACGACGCCGGCAGCGTGTGTACTTGCAGTCCTTCCATTTCTTGCTGTCGAGGCCTTATTGTCCATCAGGAAAGGGATGGAGAAAACCCGAAACCAAATAGTTATTTGCTTTAAAATGTTTTAATCTTTAGCTTGAAGGTTGGGAGAGCCCTGCATTGATCTTGAGCCATGTGTTTTGGTTTGTCTTTGGGGGATGGCATGGAAGGTGATGTTTGAGGTGAGGTGGAAAAATTCCTCCAAGATGAAAGTCCAGGGGGCTTGGCATAGTTACACTGGAAATAAATGTAGTTCACAGTGTACAGGGCACTGGGACAGCTTTACAGTGCTAGCTCTGTAACGTCTGTCTACCAAGCAGGGGTTTCACAATTATTGCAGAAGATAACTTAGAGTGTTGAAGTGATCCATTAAAATTATTATAGAAATCTTTACAAATACAAAGTAAAAAAGGATGGAAAATGTGTTCAGGAGCCTGAATGTTGAGCATGCAGGGCACGTGGTTTATTTCCACTGAACGAAGCTCTGCATCAAAACCCGCGTGCAGCATCACAAAAGACACTAGGGGCACAAGAGGCTTCTGTGTCTTGGCCAGGAGTCTCTGTAGTCTTGGCAGCATTTTCATTTAACTCTCTTGTGACAAATTTACACTAGGCGACCATTAATGCTACGTAAATAGTTGGTTTTGACTCACTGTTCACCAGTGAACAGTAACGCTATTTTGGGTCAGCTTGAAAGTTAACTCTCCAAATTTACTCAGTGAAACAAGCAAACCAAACGGAAACGTTAGTTTGTAGTTGAACAAAATAGTTTTGCTATTTTAAATGTCCATTATTGGGATAGGAGCTGATTGTCCTATTCTGTTCTGGAAGCCAGGCTTGGTGTTCGAGTCGCTGTGGCCACCACTGTGGATCATTCTGCCAGAGGCCAGACTCAGTGCCTGGCTGAAGAGAAGCTCCTTTTCTGGTTTGGGGTGGGGTGGTGGGGGAAGTATATTGAATTTGAGGCCATCTCTTCTCTATCTTCCCATTGTATGAGGCTGTGTTGGACAAGTGAAAATACTGGAAGGGTCAGGTACCTTCTCTTCTGACAGACTCACGTTTCAGCCTGCTTTCATCTTCACGATGCGTAAATCTTGCTAGACAACTTCTCGTTTGGAGATGACACCAAGCTGAAATTCACGGGCTAACAAAACTCTCATTGTCGAAGTACAGAGAGTGCCTGTACGCCTTCAAATCTTGACGCGCCACCTAGTTAGAGATGGTTCTGTAAGACGTGAGAGCACCTCTCCTAAGGGAAACAAAATGAAGTTCCCATGCTGTTGTGTGAAAGCTTATATTGTGTAACCCAGACCAAAGAGTATGGTATTAGTAATGCAAGTCCTGAACTTCTGCGTTCAACCAAACTGCAACCACCTCAAAGCAGATCCACCAGCACTGCAAAGTCCTTTTTCTTCTTTTGTTTCCCTCAAAAGAGCACTGAGCCTGGAAGTAACACTGAGAACAAACAAACAGGCCATCTGATTGGTCTAGCATCAAATCAAACCCTGCCAGGAGAGCAGACTTGCAGCTGGCTCATTGAACTGGCCGAGATAGGCGAGAGCAAGGCCTGTCTCCTCAGCTCTAATGTGGCAACAGCGAGTGTCTGATGGACTCGGGAAGAGGTTGGTACAGAGGGTTTTCCGCCCTGCACACTTTTCTATTTCCCGTCAGATGGGCATTCAGAGGTTTCCAGAACCCAGAGGCTACATCCACTGGGCTCTTCCTGTGTGAATTTCTCCAAGTCCGTGCAAAAACCAGCTCTGCCTCGGCAGCGGCCAGTGGCGTGTGGTTTCACAGTCCCTCCGTAGGTGAAAACATGCGCTGATAGTTAAACTGCAGGTACTGCTCCTTGTAGAGCAAACCACACCTCGAGACCTCGTTTATAATGAAACGGGAGGGACCGTCGTTGAAGACTGTTTCGTGGCAACTGAAATCCTAATTAGCACAGCTATCTTCATATGCTGCAAGACAATTCCTTTTCCAGAAGGGGTGGATGTTAAAGTACATGTAAATTGTCAATTAAAATAAAGGGCTCATTACTGATCTGCTCTCTAGCTGTGGTTTGGTAAGCAAACTTGGGTGATGTACGTTCTGGAGCTGTTGCTGCAAACTAACATATAAAAAGGTAAAGGGTTTTCAGAAGAGGATCTGCTGCTGCTGCTTTCTGGTTCACGCTTCATCCCTTTCAAAAGGAAAATAGCCACAACTGCATGACTTATTGAGCTGGACGTAAACTAAACAAGCGGCTCAGTACAGAGAAGCAGTTGTACAGTCCTTCGCTCCTTGAGCATGGGTGAGAGTAAAAGTGCCGACAGCGTGGTTCCTTTGCAACGTTAGCTGTAATTATAGGCTCTCAGTCTTTGTCAGAAGGGGGGGAAAAGTGGAATATTTGCTATTGGGGAAAACTGGAGGAGCAGGACCCTTGTGCAGCGCACTGATCTCCTGGGGAGCAGAACTCGCTCCGCTGTGTTTTGCGCGTTGGCCAGCGGGCCTCGTCCTGGACGGTTAGAGGGACGGGCCTGAAAGGCGTCAGCACCCGTTACGCCTCCGTGTCCGTAGATTCAACGGGCACGGTGATCGTGTGGATGGGTCCCGAGCTGCTGCTGCGCCATGGCTGACTTTGGAGCTTTTTGTATTTTTTAGCCCAGCTGATGGCAGAGATACCCACAGCAGAGCGATCGCAGCTACCTGCAACTGAGAAATGATTCGCGCTCTGTAAAAATAAAGCTTGAAGAAAGCAGCCCTGTATCCTGTGAAATGAGGACTGCAGCTCTTGATCTTTGAAATGGCCCTCTTTTCCACTTTAACAGAGCTCTGCAGGTTTTTATTGTTAGTTGGGATTAACTGTTTCTGTTCAGCTCTCCCAAGTGGCATTTTGGGGGGGGGGG